AAGCACACTGTAAGCCACACATGAATCCCCCATATTAAAACTCACCCCGTACCCCGATGTCCTCCAACACAACATTAACATTATACCACATTATTTCACTTCTCTCATTAATTAAACACACCTAGCTTGAAAATAATATTCTTTTTTATTCAAATCTTTTTTAAAAAAAACATGGCCGACCCTAGTGTAACCAAGAGATATATATCTTCTTGGGTACATACCTGTTTTGTGTTGCCGGTGGGAGGGACAAGACTTTTTAAAACTATTTTAAATAGAGCTCTAGCCGATTCGATGATTGGCGGGCTCTGTGGGGTGAGTGGGTCTATTTTTTAAAAAAGTAATAAAACTGGTGAATATGCAGACTGGAGGCGCGGCAGGGCTAGGGTGCTAGTCACTTGGTCTGTACACCATCCATGTTTCTCTTTCTAATCTACATAAATGATAGGCACACCTGTAGCCGAAGTAACGCTTGACTATTTACTGATGATATGATTGTATATTTGACTAGTATTAAACAACACTGACTGCGAACGCTTAAAAATGATCTAAATGATTAAAAATGACTGCCTAAAGTCCTTCGGTGCTGATAAATGAGGTTGTTAACATTACATAAAAAGATAAATCCTAACATTTAACTATAACATACAGTGACCACCCTGTTATTATTCGACACAGCCAAATATTTGTGAAAAACTAAATCCAAAGACCTGTCTTAAAATGAAAAAAGAAATATTAACATAGCAATCAAATTTAAACAATACATTAATGTTTTATAAGAAACATCCAAACAAACAAAACGACGATAAAAGAAACAGCATATACCGCACATGTGATGTCTCTTATTGGATACTCTTCATATACCACATTGAAATAATTCAACACATGGCTGATAAAAACCTACGCTAGCATTGCAACTTCTATGCAAGACACGTTTATGCTACAAAAATGGGAGGAATGATGCAAAATTTTATCTCATTGTATGTTCTATAAAATTATTATTCATACATTTATTTCATCAAATTTCATTTTTTGTTCTAATAAACCACTCATCTACTTAATCCTTCCCATCATCCATCTTCTTCCATACTACACCCCATATATCGATCACTACTAAATCCATCTTTTTCCATACTACTGAAGCACCCCATATCTCGATCCCAACTAATCCATCTTCTTCCATACTACTGAAGCCCCATATCTCGATCCCGACTAATCCATCTTCTTCCATACTACTGAAGCACCCCATATAAAGATCCCGACTACACCCATCTTCTTCCATACTACTGAAGCACCCCACATCTCGATCCCGACTACATCCATCTTCTATACTACTGATGCACCCCATATCTCGATTCCTACTACATCCATCTTCTTCCATACTAATGAAGCACCCCATATCTCGATCCCGACTACATCCATCTTCTTCCATACAACTGAAGCGCCCCACATAAAGATCCCGACTAAATCCATCTTCTTCCATACTATTGAAGCACCCCATATTTCGATCCCAACTACATCCATCTTCTTCCATACTACTGAAGCACCCCATATCTCGATCCCGACTACATTTATTTTCTTCCATACAATTGAAGCACCCCATATCTCGATCCCGACTACATCCATCTTTTTCGATACTACTGTAGCACCCCATATTTCGATCCCGACTATGATTCTTTCACATATCCTGCTAATCAAATTGTGCCTTTCAAAATTGTATATTTTCCCCTTTTGGCCATCCAACTTTCTTTTAAAAATACTTTAAAACATCAAACAAACCCCAACAAAAACCAAAATACATTCACTGCCTGTGGGTCTGCTTGCGCATGCCAAATAATACCAAGCGAATAAAGTGCATCAGGTTGATAGAGATCCACCTTTCTTACTCGCTGAATGACATCAACACCAAATAAGGAAACATATTTAGTGTGAAGTTTCACAACGAGCGGTAAATAACAACACAGAATTCAAGTCCCGCATAGTGTCCGTGGGATCGCGGTTGGATGTTGGCTAAAAGGCGCAGATTTTCTCTCTCTCTCTCTCTCTCTCTCTCTCTCTCTCTCTCTCTCTCTCTCTCTCTCTCTCTCTCTCTCTCTCTCTCTCTCTCTCTCTCTCTCTCTCTCTCTCAATACATTTGTGCTAACTTGATTTTTTTTTGTTTTGATACTACAAACTTTGTACACCTACTTAAACGTGTTCCTAGTTTTGAAATCCTAGTCATATGGAAAAAGTCAGACTTAAGAATACATTAACAGACTTAGTGTGCTGCTCAAGCAGTTCAGCTACCTTTTTTCTGATACCACTGGCCATTACCAACCACGAAGGACAGGAAAAAGAGTGGTGGGAGAGGTACATGTACCCCTGCCATGGGTGTCCGCAGCATAGGTCAAGGGGGGCCACGTGACCCTCTCTGAAAGTCTTACTGCATATATAATTCCGACATGTTTAATCATGCAAATTGAAGCTGAAAATGTCACAAGATTCAGTTCAAAACCCTTAATAATTATTAAGCCACAAGCTGCCTTGGATAAAATTGCGTCTGTTTAAATAAGCCACACATAGGTCAAAACAGTCTAATACTTTAGCTAATATATCCATATCGAAGATAGATCAAAACAGTCTAATACTTTAGCTAATGTATCCATATCGAAGATAGTTAAGGTTTATTTGTAAATTATTTGTAGATACATCAGCACCCGCATATCTTAAGTGCTCCTACTCCCACCATAACCCATGTCTTAGCACTGCCATGCTGCCACGGTCATATATATATATATATATATATATATATATATATATATATATATATATATATATATATATATATATATATATATATATATATATATATATATATGTGTGTGTGTGTGTGTGTGTGTGTGTGTGTGTGTGTGTGTGTGTGTGTGTGTGTGTGTGCCAAAAAGAGAGGGGGGTGTCATATGGACCGACCTGAACCCCTATGGGGCTTCGGCTTTTACCTTTTTTTAGATCTCTTAAATACTCTCATTGTGTACTTAGTTGTCTGTTAAGTCTATATATAGTAAATCATACAGGTTTGTTTTGGCCTTAATTTTCAAGTTCAATATAACCAGGGCCTAGGGGCTTCCAATTCTCGAATCGATCCTGGCCTCTCTCAACTTTTGATGGGACCTGGGGGCATAATAAATCGGGGATCGGTTTTTGTGGCAAAACACCTTTTGGCGGCCCAGGACATAATTTTAAGCCTCAAACTATAAATAAAACCTCATGTGGAAATGTTCAGGGTTGTTATGAGCTCATTTTTTAGGGAAAGGGAGGGCGAAAGGGGCACCCAAATCACGCACCCCAAATTGCCACTGCTATTTAATAAAAATCTGTAAAGCATCATGGGATTGTTGTAATGATTTCTATGTTTTTCAACAAATATTTAAAAGCTAAACGTGTTCTCATTCGAGTCAGTATTAATCCCGTTTTTGTTAAAACCACGAGTAATTTCGAAATCATTCAAATGACATTCATGATTCCAAGCTATCTCCTTGGCCAATGTCCATATATTTCCTGCAATGTTACGTTACTCAAGTCCTTAAACGTATTTAAGTATAACCACTTTGAATTTACTAACTACCTAAGAGATCAATATCGGCCTAATTGCTTATTGTTATTTCAGTGGCTTTACTGTACGGCGTCTCTTATCCAGACCAAGTACAGACATGCGGTCCGATACGTTCAAAGTACATGTCTACGTGTTAGCTGCAATGTACACTATAGTAATATAAATTAATTAATGCCGTTAGGACACGGCTTTACCAGATATCATAAATCTTACCAGAATTTCCAGGAGTCCGGTAATGCAAGCTGATTATTTATCTTCTTTGTAACAAAATGTGTTACCGCCGTCTTTACTATGACAAAGTATGACTTGAATACAAACGACTCCTGCTTGTAAGTGTCCAACCAGTATACACATGAATATATACCCTTCGTGTGGTCAAGTTTGAGCCTGCGCATTCTTGGATTATTGCTTTTTTCCGGGTAATGCTGCTTTATATATAGTAACACTTATAATCTGGTGGGCTATAAATAAACAACACCTAAGCAACAGTTGTACGCGAGAGATTGACGCAAAATGTGTACAAATTGTTGTTGTTGTTTGTTTTTTTTATATGCATTGCAATCCGTTAGCCGCCATCGTCCATAGAAGGAACGACAGATCAGTCGCCATCTTTAAAGCTACGAAGGCTTGAATTCATCAGCCTACAAAGGTATTGATTTTGTCAAAAAATATAAATACGTTTAAGGTTTGTTTGTTTGTTTGTTTATTTTTTTTTATAAAAAAGATGGAATGGTCAAACAAAGTTCTGTAACTAATGCTAAATGTGTGCCATATGTGACTTACACAAGCGGACACGTTGAAGTTTTGGACACGCTGCTGTTTCCATGTATACGTCTGTATTATTATTGAATTACTAATTTTGTTAAGTTCTTTTTGGTTGTAGAACATCACAATCTCTATTTTCACTAAAATATTCATTTGCGTAATTTTTGAAACTGATAAAATAAATTTGTAAAGAGGATGAGGAGGAGTAAGATCGTGTGAAGATCGATATGACATTTTCCAACCTGTATGGCAGGAAATTTTTGCTATTTACCCATACTGGAATAAATTCTGAGAAAGCGATCTATTAAAAAAAAAAAAAAAAAAAATGATGTGTTGTACTGTTGTTGATGAAGTGCACGCAAGTTAAAAGTTGATATGACAAAAATTGCACAGAATTTATATCTATGTGGCTTTGTCAAAAATATTATTCACTTTTTTTTAAACTAATGTAAGCATTTAATTACACAAAATGATAGTAACTTTAATAAACGGGGTAATATCTGCAGCTATAAAGTCTAAGTTGAATTTGTATTGGTTCAGAAATGACAAGAGTATACCAATGCGTATCACTAATTTATATATTTAAAAGAGAATTATATTGAGATCATCACTGTTCTATTCAAACCCCATTTATTATTAAAGTACCGCTTCAGTGGCCTAGCGGTTAGAGCGTCCGTCTCAGAAGAGGGAGATCGCGGGTTCGGACACCGTCCGAGTCACACCAAAGATTTTTAAAATGGTACTAACTGCTGTCTCTTAGTAAGACCAGTGTTATTGTTAATGCTACATATCTATGGCGTGATGCCCAAGTGCTGGACATCACTATAAACTGCCACAATGCAGACATCGTAGCAAAATTACTGACAAACTGTTAAAGCTACGCTAAAAATCCAAATCTCTCTCTCTCTCTCTCTCTCTCTCTCTCTCTCTCTCTCTCTCTCTCTCTCTCTCTCTCTCTCTCTCTCTCTCTCTCTCTCTCACACACACACACACACACACACACACACACACACACACGCGTGGATCAAACGTTTCACAGTACGGACACCAGAAGACAGCAAAATTCTTGAGATATGTAACAAAACATATCATGGTTTGAGTATGCTTTTGATGGGAAACAAATGAGGAATTACATTTTCAGTTCTGTTTTTGTTGTTGTTGTTGTTTTTAAATATTTTAAACAAGCTCTATCAAGTTTGGAAAATGTTGTGAAATAAGGTACAACATACAGTTCTTCGCACACTTTATCATCCAATGAATGGGATAACCGGGTGTTAACCTTGACAAGATTACAGGGCTCGATTGTATTTAATAGTGCTCGCTCATGCCTATATATTTTATTTTGCAGCAACCACCCGTGTGGTAATACCACAACACTAGTTTGTTTGTTTGTTTTTTTTTCTTTCTTAAAAATCTAAATTTCTAGTGTGTTAGTTGAACTATTGCATTAACAAAGAGTTCTACTGGCGCATATTCAATTCTAAAATAGTACTATCGTTTTATTTTCTTTCGATACCAAATTAAGATGAACTGTTTAATTACGAGATCAGACTACACAATACATGCAGTACTATGTGGCGATCTGGAGACAAATGGGAATTAACATTATGCCGTAGGTTTACCTACCAGGACAGCTTTGGGACAACGGGAAATGTAATGTTAATTTCTACAAATGTTGGTAGTAATCAATGTCTTTATACTTACAAACACACAAAGATACTATTGCACAATAGAGGGGGTGTGATGTGAAGTGAAAATTTAATCTACATATGCTATCACACATCAACAAGGCATGGGTAGTAGTTTACCTACAAACATCATAACGTCGTATCACACACACACACACACACACACACACACACACACACACACACACACACACACACGTTGTCTTAAATTTAAATAGACCATTTGTTTTCCTAGAGATCTGCATGACCCTAAAAAGGACACCCGATTTTTTCATGGATCACTGATGTTTAGCGATTTTCAGAACTATTACAACTCCACAGTATTGATACAACTTGTCCAAGTAACTCGTCGTACGATGAACTGTGACAGTGACCATCGATATTTTCAGAGATGTTAGTTATATCTTTAGATGTTTCTTGGGGTTGGGGTAACGTTTTAAGTCGTTTCACCGGAAAAAGGTCTTTTTTCAGGGCTACCTAGCAGTATGAAGGGTTGATGATCCTTTCTCAGAGACAACCTGCCCACAAAACATTGTACGTTAACATTATTGTCAGCAGCCTTTTTTTTTTTAGCTCAAAATGATGACTATTACATAATAAGGCTTTTCTAACACATTATAGGACAAAAAATTTTCTCGGGCAGAGGCGTCTCTGAGATAGGATCAGATCAACCCTTCATACAACTATGACAGTCTCTCATACTTGCTAGTCAAAATGTTATATTAAACAAATTAAATATTATATATAATGTACAATACTTTAGTACGACTTGTTGGATTTGTTCTGACAGATTTTGTAAGAGATTTAATTTAATCAAATCAGCGTCATGTTATATTGGTATAAAATCTATTATAATAAGCGATTGTATTAGGAAAAAAAAGTAGGTTTTCATAAGTAGTATAGATAGTTAATGATCCTTTCTCAGAGATCCCGCCCCCCCCCTCATTTTTGTCAGCAGCCTTTGTTAACTCAAAATGATAACACGTTTTCTGACAAAAATATGTTTTGGGGCCGAGGTGTCTCTGAGATAGGATATATCAACTATCTCTACTAATATGTACTTATTAGTCAAAAATGTTATATTAAGCAAATAAAATATTATATGTAATGTCATACTCCATCAGACATGTTGGATTCGATCTAACAAATAGATTTTGTAAAAGATTTAATTCGATCAAAGCTTCAGCATATACTGGTGTAAAACCTAAAATAATAAGCGATTGTATTGAAAACGTGGGCTATCATATATCGCCAAAATATGGATCAGTATGGTTATTCGTGAACATGATAGAGTAGCGGGATGGGCAGATGATGTGATGACATTTATTGATAACATGGTAGATAAGCTATAAAAATTATTCAAAAATTTTTTTAACAAAACATATACATATATACAACTCCATATGACCTTCTAGCTTGTCACATAACATGCTAGCAAGCTCAGGAGCATTTGAATTAATCCCCATGTGATCCCCTAAGGTGCCAAACAATATCTTAGAAGGACTAGAGGAAATTCGAAAGACGAAACACAAACCCCATGTGATCCTCTAAGTTGTATAATAACATCTTAGTAGGACTAGAGGTTATAAATGATTAGAGGCGGCACATTTTGACCTTTGTGATCTCCGAGGTTGTCATTTGACCTCCGCGCAAGTTCAGAGGTTATATTAATTAAGGACGGCACATTTTGACCTTGTAAACTCCTAATTTGTCCTATGACATTCACGCAAGTTCAGAGATTACATTTATGATTATATACAATGAAGATAATGGTTATATATATATATATATATATATATATATATATATATATATATATATATATATATATATATATATATATATATATATATAATGAAGATGATATAATGATGATATATACATATATGATATAATGATGACATGATAAAATGCCTCTTTTATTTGTAAATAGAAACTAGCACACCCACACCCAAATATCAAATCCGTATGGGTAACACAAAACTGTTATCCACAACGTATTGACATTGTAGGTAGGTATATAATATTATTATATTCACTAATATAGGGCTGGCCAAGGGCCTCCAACTAAATAAATAATATTTTGTGGGCATAAAATCGCCCCCAATAGACAAATTTGCCTTTCACAGGATTCGAATCCAAACCGCAATTACTATAACTTCTACACGTAACCGACTGACCTACCGACGCATTATATATATATATATATATATATATATATATATATATATATATATATATATATATATATATATATATATATATATATATATATATATATATTGAATTAGTTAATATATAGTTAACAAAAACATCATTATACATTTTCTGATTATGAAGACGTAATTCTGCATTATATTTTCTGTTTTAAAAACAATATATTATTAATAATAGAGAATAAATGAATTTTTGATTTCGCATTGCAATATAAAAGAGAAATGTTACACTCTATCTAACAAAATCAAGGCTAAACTAAATGATAAAAATATCTATTTTGAAAAAATTATATATGAATTTATTTTATATAACTAATTTCTCATTACAATCTATAAACATGACCATAGCCAGGCGTAATTATAGTTGGTTTACAAAATAGACTTTCCTCGGTATAGAATGGATTTCACACTGCAGCTAAGATATACATGACTTAAACTGTTACAGCTGTACGTAGTTATCAGCAAACAGAATGTACTATGTTCTATTACAACATGTTCTGCAGAGAAGAAATCAATAAGTCGCAAAAAGGTATTTGTGTGTTCTTACAAGATAATATACTTAGACAAACATATACAAATGTGAAAAATAGCAGATCATAGATTTTGTTTGTTTCACTAATTAATTAACAACAAAACAAAACTGCTCAGCTCAGATTAAATCCATGGCACGATATATATATATATATATATATATATATATATATATATATATATATATATATATATATATATATATATATATATATATATATATATATATATATATAAAGATTCAGGCAAATTTTTCAAGTTACGTACTCTTTTGAGTTTAGTTTACGTAAAGGTCATTTCTAGTTATTTTTAAACAAATACAAAACTGCATGAGAATTTGTAGGTCTTAAAAGTGCTGTTTTATATTTATAATTCACTAAGAAACAATAAACAACTGATTAAAAATTAAAAACAGACAACATAACATTATCTTTATGTTCGACAACTCGCGAATGATTTTAAACCAAACCCTAGCGTTATTATCTCCCTAGTACAGAATTGCAAGATGGGTTAAACTAAATATCTAATCCTATTGAAATGATATCAAAATTTGCAATTGGGTATCGCATGTTTTCATAACTATATAGAAAAAAAAAACTTGTTTCTCCCAGATATTTTACAGCGACTCTCGAATAGTTCTATCATTGCGAATTTGCTTAATAAATATTTGCTACCTTTAGCAAAAACTTTTTCATCTGTCCAAATCTATTATGATTTTAGTGTACCGACCTTGGCTTATTGGACTGTGTAGATTGTCTTATTTTAAAGAAAGATCATCTATTAAATTTTCGAGATATGGAAAAAACTTGCTATCGTCTGTTCTAATAGAGAAAGTTTATTCTATCAAATATACTAAAACAAATGCCTGAAAGTTCGTCATCAAACTCAAATGACAATTGTTGGTTATTAAAAAAAATTTTTATTATTCTACTATTACCTCCATCAGCTAATGTTAAATTTTCAAACATTATTTCTCATGTTTAGACAACATTGCTTAAATAATGTCCAAGAGCGAGAGTATTAATTTCGTCTTTACGATACCTTTTATCATCAAAATTACTTAGTCCACGATTTATAATTGTATTTGTTTCAAGCTTATGATAGTTCTAATGACATTGGTTTTAATAAAGCTGACGCTATTGTTAAGAGCAGCTTTGATGTCCTCAAAATGCATCATTTTCACATCTCCTCTAGGGATGCCTTTAGCTTTCTTTGTCAGTTTATTATCGTCTAATATGACAGCATACAATTTGCTTCTTAGTCCAACAAACCCTCTCACAGGTA